TGAGTGACTATATGTGTCGGCTATAAATGATATGGCAACATCTTATAGCCAGCAGTTGGCTTTATTGTTAATCATGCTCTTAATTGCAAGGCGAAACTTAACAATGCCTATCCAGTTGTCACTCCAAATTTTAACGAGGTGACATATCCAAGTGGTATTTGAATTTATTATTACTTGTGACGCATTTTAGCTCCTCTCTTCCTAGGTGAGTTGTGACCCGTGGGACTTTCCCCTCTCTCCCCCGCGCCACTCCCGCTAGAGGACAGGGGATTCCTTGCCTCGCCGGCCTCCACCCCTCTCCCTTCAACAGCTCTACCCCGTCGCCGCCAAGAGACGCCACTGGGCAAAGCCTGGCCGGCTTAGGCGGCAGTGGGGTTGGGTCTTCCTCTCTGCTCGGTGCACCTGGCTGGCGCGGGATGGCGAGCGGACAGAGACGTGGAGCTGGTGCGGGGCTCAGCGGCACGACGCCGGGTGCGCAGGGTGGCCCCAGCGCCTATTGACGATGGCTCGGTGACGCCCTGGTGTTCGCAGGTGGGTGCGGCGGCTGCACGGAATTTTCTCAGGTCATTGGGCGCGCCTGGGGTAGAGATGCGGCGGCGACATGGGATCCGCCCGGATCTGCCATCCTGTTGCCTCTGGAGGCACGTGCTACGGGTGGCGTGGATCGTGGCCTCTGCCTGGGCGGGGCGGTGCGGGCTATGGGTGGTGCAGATCGTGGCCTCTACCTTGGCGGGGCGGCACGGTGGAGGATGCAGTGTGGCGGGGATCGTCCGTGGTGGCCTGGAGGTCCAGATGGGTTCTTTCCGGCTGGCTCGGGTGGCTGCAAGCGGTCATGGCGGTGGTGCATGCCGGTTGAGCTTATGGCGTCGCAAATCTAACATATGGGCTCTGGTTGGTGGCGTAGGGTGGAGGTGGTGATCTCCCCGCTGCGTGGGTGTCGGCCACGGTGTGGAGGTTGCCGCATGTGCGACGACGGTGGCTCGGTCCTAGGGTTCACGCTGGTGTGGGCTAGGTTTGTGCCCTAGGTGGGTCTGTGTGGTTGCGCTTGGTAGGGGAGATTGGGCTTTGCCCGGGTGGCAACCAGCAGATCAGATCCCTCTCCTCGCGGGTGCGGTAGTTGGGTCTCTGTCACCTTGCCAGGCAGATCGGTGTCAGAGATCGCGGGCTTGGCATAGTGCGAGCGTGCTCCAGGATGGCCGTCGGTAGCCGCGGGGTTGTGCCTCCCTCGGTCTACCGGGACTGGCTGGAGACATAGGTGTTGGCGCCTTGTACCGTGGAGTCGTTGACCCAAAACTTCGTGGCTAATACTAGTCTAGCAGTGAAAGGAGATGCCTTTTACTTCTCCAAGCATGGTGGGTGCACCATGATATAGGCAGGTGGTGGTGTTCCGGACATGGATGCCAAGGCGGCTGATCCGGTTGGTCGTCCGCATGGTTGGCTTTCCGGCTGGCACCATGGTGGTGGTGATTCCTTTGCCTCTCGGCCATAGGGGTAGCAAGAGATGAAGCTGCAGGTCGCTCTGGCATGATCTCTATCTTTGGCTGTGGTGGCGCCCCCATCTGGATCTGGAGTTCTAGTCTCGTCGCACTTGTCCTGGATGCCTCGTGCTGGCACGAGAGAGCTACCGAGTGAAAGCTTCGTGCTTTTTTGCCGCCAGGAACGCTGGAGGGCGCTACTCTCTTCTTGAAGACGTTCTCGTGGTGCTCCTATTCATGGCTGGGTTCCAAGTGAAAACCTTTGTCCATTTAGACTCCACAGCGGCGACGCGTAGCATCATTCCCCCTCTTGGGGGCGTTGTCATGGAGCTTAGGTGGGATAGGGTGTAGCGTGGCGTTGTATTCAGCTCTTCCTATGCTCTCTTTCGGTAGCATATGTGCATGCATTCTACGTGGTCCGGTTATCTTGGGATCGGTGTTGTATGAGATCTACCTCACCATGTTGTATAGGTCTGCCGTGTACATTGTTCTGTTGTTGCTTTAAATATAAATCGGGGCGAAAGCCACTTTCGAGGAAGCTGTGACACATGACGTCTTTGTATTTTCCCGTTGTGTTACCTACCATCGACATCTGAGAGGGTGATGTTGTTTCCCCTACCTTATTGGCCTGATTTTTTTCCATGGTATTGAGCAATATTGAAATAAGTGATGATGATCTGGATGTCGTAGTTATGATCCAATGAAGTGAGGATCGTCATGGTCGGCTCTAGCAAGCGAACTGACATCATTAAGTAATGTGCATGGATTTTAGTCATGGAACACTACCTTGTGTCATCGGATGGACACGAGGCACATATTTTTCCGAGGAATGCCTCCACTCTACAAATAATAACCCTAATCTTGCTTATATGGGATTATAACAAAACATGGTAAGGTGAGAGATTACAATGATGGTATCAGTGAGTTCATCGTCAACTCGCTTAGCAGAGAGCGTGCGACATCGTAGTTGTGGTTGAGCCAGCCGTGCGAGGTATGCCATGATTCATGTAGATGTCGGGGTAGCTGGTGTCGAGGTAGCCACATGTGGAGCCACGGGATCTAGGAGGCGTGCTGTCGTCAAGGAGGATGTCGATGCCAAATACAATGTTTTCGAAGCCATTGTAGACGAGGCACTGCATCGGTTTTGCCAAGCCCCAGGACACGTCGGAGATGAAGGCACACATCGGTGTTTCCAGCACCAAGCATACTTAGACGTGGACCAGCACAAAATGTACAACATGTCGGAGCAACCAACATAGGAGGGCTCCAGGACCAATGTGGCTCAAAATGGCAGTGGGGTTGAAGGTGCTGATATTTCCCATGGTTGCCGGAGTAAATGAAGTGGTCGGGAAGAGATGGCGATACTAGCAATGAGCATGTGCTGCACGAATGAAGACAAAGTTGTGGTCAACGAAACCAAAGGTAGCATGAGGAGGCAACGTTGATTGCATGCAGAAGCGCGACGACGAAGTTCGAAGTAGGCGAAGAAGAACCCAACAACGTGACGAGGACCATACATGGACGGTGATAATCCTGCACCTAGGAAGGCGGCGCAGTGGGCTCCAAGATAGATGTCAATGTACGGGATGACAAGATCGATCATGTGCGATGATGCTACGGCCGATGGGTACAACATAGCTGCAACATGCAAGTCGATGCGACAAAGGATGGACCTTAGGGTGGCGACATTGCGGTCGAAAGAAATGACGGAACAACAGCCCAATTCTCGACCGAAGACGTTTACCATGGCTTGATGTTCTAGTTGTCATGCTAAAGCCGTTGATAGCTACTTCGCTTGACGAGCTAATTAGAAAGGCTTTGTGGATTCATCCACAACTGATGGTGCTTTAGGTTGATCTGATCCCTAGAAGGAAGAGTTATGGGCTTGAGGCATAATTGCTCTACTGCGGTTACACTTGCTATGTCATCCGATGTTGTTCACAAAGCGGCTCTTACTATAGACTCGGCTATCGCCGAGTTGAAATCGAACCCAGCCTGTGTTTCCGTCCATCAATCCAGAGCACCAGACAACCGTGATACTTAAGTCGCTCAAATAGCCACCTTAGATGGTACGGTCACATCCATTAGAAGAAGAAACGAAACTCGATGGAGTACCCTAAACCAGAAATCCTCGACAAAGAAAGATTCGATTTGAGGAACAAAATATCAATAGAGCAACGAAAACCACAGGGTTACGCGCTTACTCGATGAGATGATGATATCAGAGGATCTTGTAGAGACGCGCATATGTGGTAGATCAGTTTGAAAGGCGACCCACAGTACTAAGTGCCAGCGCGCTGCTTCGTATGAGTAGCCACATGCCACACGTCACAGGAATACACGAGCGGACGCTACCAGCACATCCTGCTTGGCCACATGATGTGTGGACTGTAGAGAGGCTGGTCTCGACATGTACAAGAATGTGAGCAGCTACCCGCACGGACCGCGCCAGAGTAATGCTAGACCCACGAAAAGTTACGTCTGATTTTTTTACGTAAAGGCTGATTTGGAGGTAGTTAATTGGATTAGGATTAGTGGCTGGGGCCCATCCTGATT